ATTATTCGTTTGTGAAAGTATAATTAAGAAAGACAGAAATACAAAAAGAAATTACACATAAATAAATAATATATAGATAAAGTGGCTAATAGTTTATGGTGTGATTCAGGCATTTATATCCATTTCTACATTTTTCACTTCAAGGTAGGTCATTTCAATCCATAAATTAAAAAGAAATCGCATTTTTTTTTTGGCTCAATAAAACAAAACAACTATTTACAGAACTTGTTGTTGATAATTATTCAACTACAAAGTCCTTGAACATAGAAAGCTTGCTAAGGGTCAAATTAGTATTGTTTTCTTAGGGTTTCAAGAAACATCAAAAAATGTGGTTTGGTGATTTTTTTTTTTTTTCATGCTTATTGACATCACTTCATCTCTTAAGGGTGAGCTTTTAGTAGCAACACGAGGATGCTTTTAAATAAGACTTCTGTTTTTTTTTAATTTATATATCATATATAACTTTTAATTTTTAACAATAATCATTAAACACGGTTCTACCAAACATCTTAACCACATTTTAAAAAGTTTTAATGTTTCATTACCAAACAGATATTTTCAGCGGCTTGCGTAAATTGCTTTTATAAGTAACTTATTACAAACTCCCGAATATCAAACTAGCCTTAAGTATCTACATATATCCAGTTAAGTATCTACCTATATCCAGTTAAGTAGAGCTAAAAAGATAGTCAAGTTTAGATGAGTTGGAGTGTGACAAGAATATTTATGAGGACTAAATTGCTAGGGGGGTGTTAGTCAATTGGGACATTTTCATGCAAAATAGGATAATTGTTAAAGTGGAATAATGTTTCGCTAGTGGGATATTTTAGTGGGATAACTAGGAATAATTTTGTGAAGCGGGATATTTTGATAAAATAACGTAGGATAAATTCTTATAATCATGAAGTATATATTTATGCATTTTGAAGATATAAATACTATATATGTATTTTAAACTTACTTGAAGATATAAATACTATATATGTATTTTAAACTTACTATTATTGATTGATAATTGCTTACAAGAATGTTCTTTACTATTAAATAACTTTTGGTTAGACTATAAGATATTGACAATTATTATTATGATGTTGGTCTAATGATGGTGATAACCATAATAGGAAATAAGTAAAAAAGAAAAAGAAAAAGAAAAAAATAAACAATAAATATGAGTTCTAGTTTTTTACCACCTAGTTCCAAGCTAAAACTTAAAATAATTTGAGAGACTAGAACTCTCATTTTTGTATAGAAAAATAAAAAAATGAGATAATTTTGTACAATTATCCTAATTCTAGTTTTGTTAAAGTTCTACTTGACTAACACTGTAAAATTTTATTCTAGTTTTAATTCTATGTGACTAACACCTTAAAATTTTGTTCTAGGTTTAGTTCTATGTGACTAACACCTTAAAATTTTGTTCTAGGTTTAGTTCTATGTGACTAACACCTTAAAATTTTATCCCACAGATTATCTCGGTTCTAATTTTAAGTTCTAAGTGACTAACCCACCTAAAGTCTCAATTCGCGCACAAAATAACAGTCGCATGATTGAGTCAAAGATCAGAGTCTGCTTTGGGGATTATCGGGTGATGCGGCGTAAGAGCAAAGGAGAAGCACCCTTACTGTCCTTTTACTCCCCCATCTTTAGCATATTATTATGGCGTCACATGATTCCAGTGCGCAACCGATATAAGCTAATATTTATCAATGACAAGTTTTTATTTATTTATTGCAATATTTAAAAATAACATCATGGACTTGTTTAATGAACAATGCTACATTACAAAAAGCGGAAGGATAAAAAAAACACCTCGGCGTTTCTCCATCAAAAAAAAAACACCTCGGCGTTTCTCCATCAAAAATCACAATTGCGCGCATTTGATGCGTCAATACATGCACTTTTCGTTCAAAAATTAACTACTAATTTTAACTCGAGAAATTTGTGAAGAGGCTTGAAAGTTGTCCTATTCTTTAGCTAGTTTGTTAATTTGTTTTAGAAGTCCTATTCAGTAGGGTTTTAGTTGCTTTTGAATAAGTCTCACATAGCTGTTTGTGGCTAAGAACGTAAGCAATATTTCAGCATTTTCTGTTAGGCTATATAATAGCCAAAGTTTACATTCAATAACATAGTTTTTGTTGATTGCATACTTCCTTTTCTCTACAATTTGATGCTCGGTACCAGATTCAAAACCGAATTTTAAGAGAAGCACGAGTCGAAAATCTATGATTTGATGAAAATCTTATCTTGTGCCCACGTACAACCGAAATACACAAACATACGCCTAATTAAATGAGAAAATATCTAGTGAAACGAATGTCCAGCGTCGGATCTGTCTCTACATGAGCTCCGAGTCCAATAATCTAACGGTTGACATTCATTTAGCGGGCATTTAATGTCATGCGTGATACTCTCTCTAATCAAATTTGATTCTCTTGAGAACATCACAATACAAAGAGGTCTTCCAATTTAAGCTGATGCTGATAGGATGCTGATAGGATCAGAGAAAGATATCGACACCCGATATAATATAAAACTAAGCTATCAGTAACGCATCCTCAATCAAAATCCTAATAACCCCAGGAATAAAAATAGCACTAGATTATCACCTGCGTCACATCCATACAACTCAATACTTGATGATGTAGCAGAACTAAACAAAGTAAGCACGCACACATTTTATCTATTGACAGCGACAGTCAACCAATAATATCCACTTTCTGAGTATTCATCCAATTTTTGAAGAATGGAACAAGCATGCAATTATGAGATTTACCCACTTTGCATTTGGGAACGACAAAATACAAGCGACTACAAAGAAGCTACCTTGCAAACAAAACCCAGGAGGGTGTCACCGAGTCCAAATACCGTCTACATATGCAAAATCTTTACCAGATCAACATCTTCATTAACCGACCGCATACATTCCCTGAATATGATTTACCTCCAGATAGTTATGAATACTTACCTGAGAATCAAAGCTTTGAAGGGTTATCTGGGACGACGATATACGCACCCCTGAAAATTCGGGTAACTTTTCTTAAGTGTAGGAAGACGAAATGCAACTCTAAATCAGAAATGTTGCCGATTTCAGAAATCAAATAAGTGAAACATAGTTTTCATGCCTACGGAAATTGTTCTTGCCTTCTGCTCTTTGTCGGGCGAATTTGAAACCTTAATAACTTATCAGCCCATGCAGGGATTTATTTGACCGTTCTAGATTATTACTGTACGGTCAACAAATAAAGGTGTGTAAATTTGTTAAGAGGGGGCAGAAAAGGATTTCGTAAGTTTCATTTCCTTGCTAAAGATGTCACCTAAAATTAGGAGAAGATAATAGAGAAACAGATGCTTAAAATGAAAAGAAAAGGGAAAAAACAAAAAACAACGAATTTCTTTCATCATAATAACTTGGGGTTTTTATCAATCTATAAACACTAATATCAGATCCTAATATTATATAGTGGCTTTACTAACTCTACATTCAGTGTTTAGCATCGCCAACACACCCAACAATTCAACGAATCTCAGGCTTCCGAGCACATATTTTCTACCACGCTCATTTACAATCCTCAAAGAAGAAAATATCTCTGATGGGAATGTTTATCCTCCATACGCAAAAAAAAAACATTTAGGATTCTTGAAGGGTACCCATCCACTAAATTTATGGTAAGGGATGAGAATTATATAATTTTATATTCTAGCATATGCCCCAAAGTTTGAGCGCCTTTAATTAATTGAAACCTAGACTCATGCACTGTTATCTGTTTTGATTTAATCCGCTTTAAATGCGTGGCTAGTAAGATTTGAATCTTGATTGAAGGGCCCTTCCATTACACCAAACTCTGCAGCTATGATGAGGATTGAGGATTGTAACTTCATATTCTAACAAGTCTGTGGAAGGAAGTCCTTAGGAATTTGGAGATTCCTACTTGGAGAGCTAAATGGGAAACTCACCTTCAAATACATCCTAAGGTCAATATCTGCCATAGGCCCTCCCAAAATCATCATGCCTCTGATTCCCAAAATCATCACGCCTTTGACGCTGAAAATCACCACCATATAAATCATGGGGCCTCGAGGCCTGGTAGTCCTCACTAGGAAAAGGGTGTCTGTTCCTTGAATCCATTGGTAAATTGGCTCCCCCGTATTGAGGATCCCTGGACGACTGGTTAAATTCTGGGTAAGCAGGTTGGTTGTATGCATTGAAGCGAGATTGCTGTCGCCTTTGGATATCAAACTGAAGAAATTCCTCCCACTGTTTCAAGTGCATGCCTCTCATAACAGCAAGTTTCTTCATATAGTTCTCTCTCAGCTCCCGTACATACTGCATTTAAAAGAAAATCATGTTACACAATGTAGAACGAAAATAGGTAAAGTCATGGAAATATTGAAAGCTCTTGAGAGGAAAGGTCACCTCTCTGCAGTCACTTGCACTAGAAATACGAAACTATGTGATGTTATCTAAATCTTGATATGGACATGCTAACACCATAGGATAAAATTTGGAATCAGGTAAAACAGAAAACATGCTCATTACAGCACTTCTAACAAAACACAACGCGTAACTTGATGAGTGCAAAGTGAATATCAAACGAAGAATCATGCAAAATAAAAAAAATAAAAAAAGATTAAAAGCAATACTAAGCTAACTAGCTAGACATTATATACACATCTTCCGCCAAGTTGCTAGAAAACACTTAGTTCAATATTTAGATAAACCAAGTGAAGAGCTTTCATACACAATTACATGTATCCAACTTTTAATCAAGGGGAGTTTCAAAAACGGGTAACACCATGTGATCCTCCCTAAAATAGCAATGCTAGCTGCTTCAACTAAGCGAGAGAAGGGTAGTGAGTTTGTAAAAGCTAAAACTCTACGATGCTCCTAAATTAGTAGCTGAATTTACATATTCGAATCAGTTACATGGCATTTTCATCATTGAACTTAGTGACAAGATCACAATGAACCAATAACTTGATAACCAATATTACAGGTTGTTTGCTTGTGTAGTTAGGCGGCCGTTAGAATTGCAATGCATTTCCAACTGCATGCAGATCAAGAAACCATTGAAATAGCAGATAAACCCTGTACTATTTTATGTTAAATTTTCCATTATAAACAAAACAGAACAAAGCACTCCAATCAAAATAGCTGAGATAAGCTCTCAGCTAATTGGAATTCTTTTATGTAATAAATTCGAAGTGGATTCTTGGGATGCTAGACTACTGCCTATTCAAGGATGTTACATTCAGAACAAAAAACAAATAAATGATAAACTAGCAAACACTAAATCTATCAAGATAAACTGAAAATAATCATATTCACAAGAAAGAAATATATTTGGTATGCCAAGAAAGAACAAAATTGCTAAAAAATTGCTAAGAGGTGTATGGTACTGTTAGACACAAGATATAACAGAGAACATAAATCTAAAAAGATAAAAAAGCAGAGTAACTAATTTATGCAATGGCAAAGGGGAACATAATAGGATAAAACATCTCTCCTTAAAAGGATTGACAACTAGCTGAAATGGTATATTTAAAATTGCTAAGAGGTGTATGGTACTGTTAGACACAAGATATAACAGAGAACATAAATCTAAAAAGATAAAAAAGCAGAGTAACTAATTTATGCAATGGCAAAGGGGAACATAATTGGATAAAACATCTCTCCTTAAAAGGATTGACAACTAGCTGAAATGGTATATTTAAAATAACTGCCAGATAGATTTAGCATCCACAGGAATCATACCTCACGATGCTTGTAGTTTTCTTCATCTTCCTCTTGGTCACGAAGTCTTCCAATATCCATGGCTTCCCTCTTAAATTCCATTTCTAATTCTTCCAAAGTTTGTGGATTAGGAGGAAAACTGAACCCCTTTTCAGAATGAAAATCTGTCCTACCTCTCTCTACATTCCAGCTATCAGTTTTCTGCACCGCAGTGTTATGACTATGACCATCAATTGAACTAAAAGAATCTGGTCGAAAACTAGTGCGTGGAGGTGATCTGGAGTGGGTTGATTGTCCTCTTGGTCCATCACTAGCATAAGCTTTGTGACATGAAGAAGATATAAGCAAAACCTCAGATTTTCTGACATAAAAAATCTTTAAATAGTCTACACTAAGAAGCAAGATGACAGAATATACAACACTTCAAGCCCTTTTGACTTGCATAAGTCTAAAGATACTTTCAACAACAAATTTTCTGCATTGAGGAAGATCTTCTGTGTCCAGAATTACACAGAATTACCTCAATTTTGAATACAGAAAGCTGACACTTACCTCTTCCTGCAAAAAATTAAGTAAAATGAAATTAAACAAATACAGAAGATGCACTAACTAAAGTCTTCAGATGAGAGTTGCAAACATTCAGAAAAGAAATATTCCGCAAAGTTTGCCTACCACGTGGTGAATCCCTTGACAGCTTTTGCAGATCATCACGTACTCGATTTTCAATAATCCGTTCTTGATTAAATGGCCTATTCTGGAAGCGTGACATGCTTCTTGGACTAGGATTCGACTTTTGGGACTCAGAACGCCTATAATGAGAATCTGCTGGACTTCGAACAGGGGATTTGGATCTTGCCCCGTGTGAACTTGTAGAGCTTTTATTTTTATCATCCTGAATAAGTTTGTGAACAGCATCTACACCTTTAGACAAGATTAGCCTGTCTTTTCCACTGACAAATAGAAACTTCTCATCCATTTTGATTTTGCAACCAACGTCCTTCTCAATCTGACTGATCACTTTGTCAGAGAAAAGGGCTCTCACATTCTTGTCTCTTGCAGGTACTCTCTCAAAAAAATCTGCAGCTTTGCGGTTTGCCCCAAGAGTGGATGGGCAACCCTGAAATAGAAGTGAGCACATAAGTTTACTAAAATACATAAATAAATTCGATATGTGTGTAAAGAGTCTGATATCCCTCCTAATGGTTGTGGAGCAATAACAAGAATATTTCTAGAGCTACATAATAAACAAACATCATAACAAATGAATCCAGCTAAGCAAGCTGTTTCAAAGCTAAGAAACTTTTCATCACGTTGCTCCTATTAATGCGTAGATTTGGCCCTCTTTCAAAGTTACCACGTGCGACAGGCCACAAACTTGAAGAATATATGTTTCGATGTCATGTCATGTTAACATAAGTTCCTTATCCCCTTTCCCATTAAACAATGTCTTAAATGTCAACCGGGTTAACCAATAACTTTGATACAACAGCAACATCCTTCTTCAACATGTCGTATCAATGGCTATCACCAGTATTTGCTCTAGTTCCTCAAACATTATGACACGCCTGGTCCATTTAACTCTATTTGGAATGCCAGGTCAAAATTATAATTATATAGGAGTAGAAAATTTTCCCCTTTGACTTAAGACAATTAAGGCCATGAGATACAAGTTACCCAGTGGCATACAGGCGTTAAAAAAAGGGACTTCATTGGGTCTTGAGATATCTTCACTATAAAACACTGATTTCATGGAAACCAACAATACCATCAAACAAGAAAAGTATCATTCTAGTTCACCGTATCGAAAAACAAGTAGAAGTTTACAAGAACCAATCACTCGTTATCTTTGTTTAACTGACTGCCACGGTTCAAGCAAAAGAACAGAATCAGAACATGCTTCCAAATAAAAAAATTCCCTCAACTATAGGTGAAGACCAAATCTATTTTCTCAAAGAGGAAAATAAGTAGACTAGGTACTTGCCTTGGTTCAGAAAAATGTTAAACATATTAACTCAGAAAAAAAATATCACAACAGACTGCTTTACATACCATGTTCCTAGTAAATATACATATGATTAAAATAAACAACCAAATCAGAAAATATTCGAAAGTATACCAGCTACGGCAGGATGTCAGGAAATATATAACTTTGATGCAAGATGGATAAAAAAAATGAAGTATATACTGCAATACATATCACCAAATTTTGTCCGTATACAACATACATAGAATGCCAAAATAGAATACCATTTTAGGTCTCAGCATCAAAACAACCTTAACAGGGATGCTTGACTATGGAAATTTAAAACCAATCACAGCTTGGCATACAGTAAATTACTAAATTCTGTGGGAAAAAATTGATTAAAATATGAAATTAACAATTACATACCTGAGTAAAATGACCTGATTCCCCACATATTTTGCAGATCATCTCTTCCTCTTTTCTCTTCTTCCAATTCCTTTCAGTTGCTTTAGCTTTAGCCTCCCAAACTCTGGCCTCTCTGCTAGTAAAATCAGTAGGAACAGCATTAGGATCTGGAGGCTCCTCATCATCAGCAGAATGGTCATCATGTGGTCTTTTATTGGCCATGTTCATGGTTCCACTTCCATTATTTCCAGTTGGTCTAGGTGGACCAGTATATTCCTTCCCATAAACTTCATTGAAAAGCTCGTCATCTATTTCTGGGCTTGGTTCTCTTGCCATCTATAAGAGATTACACCTGTATCAATCTCAAACATAGACCCACATTTGATCTCAATAAAAAAGAAACAGAGACATAGCTACAAGAATTTATATTGTATATACTGAAGCCCATATAGAAGCTTTTATATTTCTTATAAAAAATAATGAGGGTATCAGGTAATAAATTACAAAGAAGACAAATAGAAAGAAAAGGGCAGCTGGCCATTTCTGTACAGATTAAAATTTTCTCTCATATAAGAGAGCTTTAAAACACCAATCTTTGGCCAACTTAACAATGCCTTGTTATGCCCTTCAAATGAATCCTACAACAACAACAACAATGACGACAACGACAACGACAAAGCTCCCAAATGTTTGGGTTCAGCAACATGAATCTTATGCTTCCATTCTGTTCGATTTTTTGCCATCTCCTCCGTTAAACTAATCATAATCATATCCTTCTTAATTATTTCTCACCAAGTTCTCTTAGGTCTACCCCTAGATCTCTTTGCCCATTAATTATAATATTATCATTTGTCCTAACCAGTGTATTTAGAGGTCTCCGTTGTACATGACTGAACCACCATAGTCGATTCTCTCTCATTTTATCCTCAAAATAGGAGCAACCTCTAATTTACTACAGATGCACTGATTTCTTATCCTAATAACTAAAAATCACCAAATATATTACCAACTTAACAATGCCTAGTTAAGTCCTTCAAATGAATCACAATAGCTAAAAATTACCAAATTTTTTACCAACTTAATAATGACTTGTTATGTCCTTCAAATGCATTCATATAACAAGACGTAGTTAATAAACATCAAAACCACTCACTTCAAAACTAATAAAATTTCTTCGATACTACAGACAAGAAATTTGTCAATTAAACAAAAAGACCCCAACCGATACACACATTGTCATACCTAAAGAACAACAAACAACCTCAACTTCCAAATCACACACTTATAATAAGTCTTATCCAGGATCCCCATAAGCCAACAAGGAAAAACTTTTGTTTCATAACAGGGATGTTATTTTGACTTTATAGATTCTCATTATGCCCCCCGAAACTAATAATTCAACCCTAGTTTGATGAATCCAAAGCCCAAAACGCCCTTCTTCAAGTATCAAGAAATGCAGAAAGCTCCAACTTAATGCTTTCCTCCTCTACACACAGTGCATTCACAAGTTAGAACTCTAGGAAGTTGCAAAAGAATGCATTTTCAGCGATCTGCACTATGTAATTATCAATTTGCACAAATTAACAGTTACATAAACCTCAAGAAGTGGCAATGGAACACATAAAAGACAAAAGAACTCATCTTTTATTCGAAAAAAGATGTGCAAAACTCAATATATACCACATCATAATACTTGATGAGGATATAGAAACATTCTATTTGGCAAGCACCCACAAAAGGGCTTACGAAACAAACAATGCTACGAGGTAAATCGCCTCCATTGGATTCAAATCTAACAAGATATTTCTGTGCGAGAATTGGCGCAAAACAAAAAAAAGCGTTTTTTCACTAATTTATCAATTAAAAGAGAAGAAATAACAAGGAGAATGAGATGAAAGCATTAAAAAACTTGAAGGACGGTTACCTTAATGGAGTTTGAGGGGGATTAGGGTTTATGCTCACTCCCCTTCTCTCTCCTCGATGGGAGAACTGAAGGAAGCCCTAGCTTGTTGGTTCTGGTTCTTCGCCGCATGAGTTCTGGTGCTCCGCTTTTCTAAGTGTGACTCGTGATTTAGCCACGTGATGCGCACGTGATATGGGGCTGTGATCCGACTCCGGGTCAGGGATCTTCTACACCCAAACCCGACTGTTTGAAAACACTGGGTCAGGTCGAATTTATTTTAGTTTGAGAGAAAATTATCTCGAACGTTTTATTTACTAGGTTTTATGCACGTGTAATGCACGTGATTAAATACTGTGATTAAGTATTTTTGATTTATTTGCTTACTAAAATTTGTTTCTTAGTTTCACTTTGCTTGTTTTTGCTCACTTATGTCTTTAAACTTTGATTATTTATTTTCTTTAATGTTTGTTTGGATGGGTTATACCAAATTTAAAATTTCCACGTTAATAATTGAATTGATAAGAAATAAAATTAATCTAAAGCTAATTTGAATTTACACGTTATTTGGATCGACATGAAAGCAAGCTTGACTTGAGAAGGTATAATATTGTAAAAGTAAAAAACATTTGAAGAAATAGTGTTATAAAAGAAAGATGAATAATTAAAGCCAATAATCCAAGATGATTAATTAAAAGTGGGCTATAATGAAACTAAAAAATATAAATTTTGTTGCTAATCATTGATAGACTTTAGAAAAAATCATAAAATAAAAATTAATACTAACTCGAGTACACTTTTATATGATAAATGCATCTACATAACCATATAAAAATATTAAAAGAGTTCATGAAAATCCCTTCTAAAGATTCGTGATTTTTCCTCAAAAAATTAAGCTATTCAATAAAATATTCAATAAATTAAATTTGTGTTGTATTTTATGTTTAATGACCTTTAATAAGAATTTTAATTATAAAATATGTTACATTCATATTTAAAGATCTTGAAACCTGACAGTACTATTACATGCTTATCTTTGATCGTGTCCCTAAAAATTGATCATTCGTTGATAGTCATATCCCCAAATAATGTTACTTGTAGAGTTGTGACACTATATAGAAAAAAGAAAAATATCAATTTCAACTATTTTTTACTTACGCTATGATAACTAAGTATCATGTACATACTTTTTGTCAATTATAGTGATTTTCCTCATCTTATCTAGCTTATTATACTCGCAATATAGTTGATCAATGGTTTCACTTTAGTTTCTACTACAAGATTATTTATATATAATTTTATATTAAGTTTATGATTCCTTTAGTATTTTAAGAATAAAGTATGAAAATTTTTAAATACTTACTAATTTTTGTTGTATCTTTTATGAAGAATGCTTTTTTTTAATTAGGACAAAATTGTTTAATATGTTCTTCAAGGGGAACTCGGTCAGTGCTTCTTTGTCAAATTTGCCTTTTATCAATGTCAATTCAGGTGATTTATAAATGTTTCCGAATTTTGAGTTTATTTCCTTCACTTCTCTATTTGAAATGGAAACAACTTAGTTCTTTTAAATGATATCTCTTAACTTTCTGATAGTTTCTCCATACATATCTCATTGTATTTTTTTACCCTATAAATATTATCAACATTAGATATAAATGTTTATTTTTTACCCTATAAATATTATCAACATTAGATATAAATGTTTATACATTACAATAAGTTAATACTAACCTATTATATTATAGTATTTTATTAAATAAATGTTTATACATTACAATAAGTTAATACTAACCTATTATATTATAGTATTTTATTAATTTTTCTTCTAGCAATGGATATTATTATTAAAATTATATGCAGTTCCTTGAATTTATACAATAATGTTAATTTTTAATCTATCATATATTTTTAAATTCTTATTCTTAAATTGGATAGTTTTAATCTATGGTAATTGCTATTTTTTACCAGCATTAACTTAGACTATTTTTAGATGTTGAAAAGAGATGATAAATTTTAAATTGAAAGTTAAATTTATATAACTTAATGTTATAATATCAAACATTTTCTCTTTTCTTTGCCAAAATTTCAGCTTTTTTGTGATTTTAAACTTTTGAGAGTGTGTTTTGTAAGTTTTAAACTTTGGTAGTATTTTATGAAAACTTTTACTTATAAATTGGGTGCTTATAATTCATATTTCATGTATTGGTGGTAAGTTTTCAAATGTTAGAATATTTCTTGTAATTGTGAAAATTTGAAGGTATTTTTACAATTACTAAAAATTTGGGTTGTTTTTAAAAAAATTAAAATTTCAATGATCTACTGATAATTTCTAAATTTGATGTGTACAGGTTATAAGTTTTAAAATTTCAGGATTTTTTTTGTAATTTTTTTACTTTTGGGAGAGTTTTTGTGATTTTTATAACTTTAAGGTTATTTTTTACAAATTTTAAAATTTTAAGTGCTTAATGGTAATTCTTAGAATTCATCTATGTTGTTGTTAAGTTTTGAAATCTCTGAATTTTAGGGTGTTTTTTATAATTTAAACTTTTGAGTTGTTGCTGTAATTTCTAAAATATTGAGGGTGTTAATTAAAAATTTTAAATTATTAGATTTCTTGTTTGTTTATAAGTTTTAAAAAGTCAAGGTGTTTTGTGTAATTTTAAACTTTTAAGGATATTAAATGCAATTTTTGAAACTTCTGGGTTTTTTGTAATACTTTATGCATTATAATATGTTATCCATGTATAATTTCTGTATCTTTTTTTTTTAATTTTAAGTTATAGGTAGTTAATATGGAGTTAATATAAGATATAATTCGTATTTGGATAGATTAAGATTTAAATAAAATATTTAAAATAACTTTTTTTAATTGTTGAGCTATAGATAGTTTACGTGGAATTAGATAAGATATGATTAAAATTTAAAAAGATTAAGATTTAAATGAAATATCCAAAATAGCGAAGGGTAATATTGACTATTAAAGTTTTTCCTTAACTCGTGCTTTTAAAAGGAGTATGATTTACTAGTATGGTTGCATCGTGGTAAATTTTTAATTTAATATTTTATTATTGATTCATTTCATTAAGATTTATTTAATTTTAAATCATGTATTAACCATATAGATAGAATTTAAAAATTCAAAAGGATTGAATAGTGAAATTATATTTATTTATTAATTGTTTGATAATAATAGCTCTATCATTGATAAAATCAATTGCAAATGAAACCAAAGGAGGAAAACCATGATACTATAACTAAAAAGAATTAGGTTTATCTTTACAGATATGGATCAGCTTTAATTTATATTTCATGTAGAGTTCTCTCATATTGCGCTCTAATAAGTTTCTTTTTATAATGAAATTTAGATGTCGCATAGATCTACTAAAGTTGACTTATCATAGGCTAAAAGCAATGATACTATAAATGTAGGCATCACCACCAATGAAACAATTTTTTGCAATCTTATTTCACTTAGATCACAGAACATGATAATTTATCTAATAGCAACGAATGAACCATAACAATGTCTCAACTACAACTTAACATGCTAGCTCTCTTGGTTTTCAAACACTACTTTGTTTCATCTCTTATGTCGTATTACAAAATCAATAACATGTCAGTGATAGTGCATACATATTTGTCCAATTGCTTGATATAAGGATTGTTAAAGTTGTATGAACCCATTAATATTATTTGTGAATGAGTTGATTGCAGAGATAAGTAGTCCTCATGTTCGGCCAGGAGCACCTCATGGTTCTAGTATTGATCTCTATAGCATAGTGAAATCAACATACATGCTAGGTGTTGAAGATTCGATGTGTCCTCTGCCACAGATTATTAGAATCTTCAGATCCTTTATAGACATAGAATGAATAAGATTAATTTTGTCCAATGCTGCAAGATACAAGAGAATTTAGTTAGCAAAAACTCAATTAATAATAATTTCAACAAATTGGAACAAAGAAATGAAAAGATAAATAAATGAACCATTAGTAATATAATTTTTCCCCTTCTCTTTCCGTGACTTGTTATGTTAAAAGAAGTTTATGACAACATAAGTTACCTGAGTCCTTGGACAAGTGGTAGAACTTTTGGTTTTAATTTTCTTATGTTTTACCAATTGGAATGGTTTGAATGTGTACTTACTTTACATTCTCCACCATAAAGTCCGCATGCCAAGTAGTAGAATGATCCAAGCAACACATATTAGTTTTGATATTAAGTGCATGTCGTCATATATGACACAGAAGATGGTTCAGTTAGTAATTTGTTTCATGGTGATAAGTATATTTTCCAATTTTATAGATAGATTATATACTCTTGAAAACAATGTAAAATTCAAGATTATATATGCTTTATAAGAAGGATGGTTTACAAAATTTCACATCTTATGAAGAGAAAAGGCTTACCTCCAAGGCTTTTTGCAGCATCCTTCAGGCTACCAGAAATATATTGCCGAAGAACTTGCAAGCTGATAGTTTTTTCCGACTTTGCATGCCTCTTTTCAGTTGTCTTTCCGGATTTTGGAAACCAAGGATCACCACAAAAAGAATCCTTTTGATCATCAGTTCTTTGTAAATGTCCAGTCTCTGATGCGTCCCAGTTAGTAGCAACACTGAATTATTTGATCTCCTTGCTAAATTCCAAAGGTATAGAAGAAGTTGCAACCGAATCAGTTAACATAGCCTGACTTTCGAGCTCCTTGTCAGTTACAACTCTCAAACTCTTGCAAACCTTCTGAATCGTGATAGACAACAAATTAAGCATAAATTTCTGTTCTTCACTCTCGATGCAATCCACATGCAAGAAAAACTCCAGCACAGAGTCAGCTCTTCCAATGTTAAAAAAAATGCTTCCAGTACTGTACCTGGTCTTGGCTGCTCACCTGATATTGCTAAAACAACGATTGACGGTGGCATTGTACAATCGCTTTCCAGCATCCTTTGAGTGATTGATTTGGATCACCCAGATTCCCCGAATGTTGTGAAATCTGATACTGAAGGGTCTTGAGAATCTAACAAGAGCTCCCAACGCTAGGGATCAGGTGCGGAAGCTTGAAGGAAATGGAAAGAAACAATCCACTGATGTGCAGGAAAGATCTGAAGAACCTGATGCTTCTAATGCTGGAAATGCACACGATGATCA